ACTGTGACAAGTTTGCATTTTTCATAACCAAAGCTCAACCATGCAAGTGTGCAGAATACCAAATGCCTTTGCTTATAAGAAACAAGTTGCATATAAAACATTGGGGGAAAAATTCAGCTCAGAAAATAAAATCTCCTCTCACTCTAATCTACAAGTACCGGTACATGTACCTTTGTTCTGAGCAAGTGACGATGCATGAGTCGTTACATGTATGGCTTTCATAACGCGATGTCCATCGCCACTGCATGCACGCATGCGTATATACCGCCACTGCCTCACTGTATACCGACACTCAAATAGACTGGCCCCTCTAGGTTTGTTGCTTTAAAAGCATTTTCAATTTGTACGTAAGTAGGACACAAGACCACTTCCTTTGTCTGGTTCACAGACGTGGGCCTGGGTCTGAATCAATTGGCTACGGCTGGAATTACACCGACTATTTTGCAGTATCCACAGCCAGTTCCCATATATGTAGAATCATGCATAATATTAAGCCTCAGCCAACTAATTCGGGTACGGCCTTCGTGTAATGATACACGAATGATGTCATCTGATAAGAGCGCCCAGCTGACATGTACATGTATGGAGGCCCAGGGGGTTCCTTCACCGTACATATTACTCCACCCCACCATTGAAAACACATTAAAATTACGCGGTAGCAGAATTCTTAGCTGCCGATCAAGTAAGTTTGGCGGCTTTTGGAAATTGTTTAATGCAAAATAAAAAAATTCTTTATTTTGCCGGCGCGCAGGTTTACAGCGATGTGTGCGATGACCAGAAACCAGAGACTTTTTTGGCCTTATTGACTGGAAACTATCAAATGAGGAAATTTACTTTTTGATGGCTTCCTTTTTGGAAAAGTGTTGCTTGTTGGGTGCTTGACTTTTAGTGCTTATCTCATCCAAAATATCCCGAAAATGTACGTACATGTACATGTATGTGTACAGTTGTGTGTTCACTGTACAGTGCCCATGTGTTCCTAAAGGGAGAAAATTGAGGTGGACTCATTTTTTTGAATTTTATTTTCAATTTCTTTATCTTCACTGTCCTCTGATTTTTGGCTGGGAAGTCTGTATACCTGCAGCTGTACTTGAGTAAGTGAAGAGTCTGGCAATAGTTGTGTGACCTTGAGTAGGGAAATGTACAGACCTTTTGAACATAATAGGCTAGACTAAATTGTACTCTCACAAAAGACCTTATGGTTAGGGGGCTAGCCACTGAATAGAACAACAAACACCTAAATGGAAGTTCTGGTTCCTCAGGCGCGAAAACGAATGATATATTTTAGTATACCTGGATTGGTTTGTTCCTCTCAACAGGAGCTTTTTCTCTGGTTCCGTAGGCCTTTATTTTTAACGTTTTGCAGTTTCCAAAAGTGTACCTGTGTGTACTAGGGGAATGTGTTTGCCAATCTGATGATTGGCTCCACATACGTTTTTGAAATTGTGCATTCTGCAGTTTACATGTACATGGACGAATATGGCTTGGCTTCTTCATATGTATATCTGCATAGCTTTATACCAATTCCAAGAGCATTGAGTCAGATGGTGATTTGATGATCAACTTCACTATACAGTACAGGCATATCCATGTACATGTACATACATGTACATGTGTATGTACATGTACATGTACTGGTATGACTGGTAGTACCAATACAGGTACATGCATGGCGTATAACGATACTTACACCTGGGCAAAAATTTCTGAGTTCTTGTCAAAGTGTGGTCAGAAGCCCTCGTAAAACCTCATGGCCCTGGCTGTTACTGGCAGGTATTTATGATTACATTTCTACAAGAATTATTGGAGCTGAGCAGGCATGACAGCTGTACTTTATGAAAAGACAGAACTATCCCTTCCAATTTGCGTCGGTCTGGAATTTGAGGCTGAGTGTTCCTGGAAAAACGCTGTTCATAGCTGCAAGGCTTTATGTGATACATGTACCGTACATGCACATTACATGTAAGCTTTAGGGCTTCAACTCAAGAGACACATCTATATGTAATAAGAGATGTACAGTACGTGTATGCTGAAACCATTTGTAAGATTGGCGCTTGGCTTTGTAAGGGGCATACACTTCAGATCGAATGTTTTTACCAAAAACGCATGCTCTGTCAATCGTGAACATCAAGAAAAGTAATAAACAACTGATCATGAGAAAGGATTACCAGTACATAAGTTGATCAGCAGGCATGTATGGGTACATGATGGATTTACAGTAGCTGGTGAATGGGTATCATGCAAATCCAGTTTTGTGTTTTGAATTTTTTGAGCCCTGTTTTTGCCTTTCTCCTTTTTCTTCTGCGCTGAACTGGTTATCTAATAATTTTAAAGACACAAATTTTCACAAAGATATGAGTTTCAACTCTCTTTTTTTTGGAGGCCCCCTCCTTTTTGTGAATACTACCGTACCAGTAGATCTTTCACTGTAAGAATAGTGTCATCACATACTGTAGTCACTAAACAAGTTAAGTAAACCCATGAATTTGAAAGGAAAAGAACTTTCATTATTCCCCCACCATGCACTGCAAATGCAGGTTTACTTGCATTTCACACACTACCTGTAGCTTCTAGGAATGGCCAAATACCTTATCCGGTAGAAGTTGAGCAGTGAATTTCTTGAAGAGCATCAAGCTTTTTATTGATAACCTGATACCCTAGTTAATTTTTATCATACAGTGGTGTCTTATGATCTGCCCCCTACATGCAGACAAATCACATCCCTGCCTTCTGTGACATTTGTAAACTAAGTGTACACTCAAAAGAATCTGGGCCATACCCCCCGGTACACGTACCGGTATTTATTCAGCCCCCGTACTGCAAGGATTTCTCAGAATCTTGTCCAGTGCACTGACGTGCTTGCGAGGAAAGAGTAACCTAGCGATGAGGACAGCTCTGCTGGAAATACCATGATATTTTCCCGGGGCTGAGAACGTAACATGCACTGGTCAGGCTACGATCTTTCGATATTCCCAGTGGTCCTTGCATGGAGGTTTTGCAGAATTGCCTTTTAAACAGAAAGCGGTGCCTTAGGCAACTTTAAAGCTCGCTGTATGAAGTGAGGCTTAGGGCAAGATCTTTCAACATCCGTTGATGTCCATTTAATAATTGAATGTACCGGTACATGTTTAAACAAAAGTTCATTTTCGTTTTAACTCTTGAAAAATCGTTGCTTTGCTACAAATTCCGATTCTCAGTGTATTTTCCCCTCTCTGCCAAACTTGATTTCAGTTATTGACATGGTGGCATCAAAGCTGATTACAGGCTGTTCCATGTTTGAATGAGTGCATGTTGATTGTTGAGGTGAATGAATGAATCCTCCCAAAAGAAAAGAAGGACCTACATGTACATTGTACATCTTCAAGGGTGGATCCAGAGCCAGATTTTCGAGTGGGGGGAGGGAAGACTTGGTGGGGGGTTGACCAAAAAGTTTATCGTAACCTATTACGCCCTTCCTGAGGGGTTAGGCAACATTTAGGGGCTTTTAAAATGATTTTTGGAGCACTGGAAATGAAACAGACCAAAATATTCACCTCTCTCATTATTTGTTTCAAAAATGGGAGGGGGCTCTTTGGGAGGGGGGTGTGGCCCCCTGCTGGCTCTCCCAGATTGGCATTTTTAGATGATGAGCAAACATCTACCTATTTTGTACATGTACATGGACCTTTCAGGCTACACTGTGCTGGAAATATTGGCAGAGGCATTGTCAGACAAATAGGTTTCAAGGCCCTGTGCTTTTATTCAAACAGGTAACTTTCCACAGTATTTTTACCTTGACAGACATTAATTGCATGTAGAGTTTTAAAAAGTGGCCTTGTCACTTTTTTTCATCGTTTGATTTCTAAAGAGAGATGCATGTAGTCTCATCTTAGATCCAGGGCTGCTCAATTCTTTGCACATACAAGTCAGAGAAAATACAAGCAGTTGTGATCGGAGGTTGTTTGGCATTGTTTTTATGTTGATCGATCCAGGGCAGCTCCGGTAGTATCATAAAATGCTTCTTGCACATGATTTTCCTTTGTCCCCCCCCCCACACTGAATAGTCCCTCAAGGGAGGTGGGTATGTTGTAAATAAAAGTAGTCTTTGTGAGAGAGTGGTGATGCAGTCAGGACCATTGCCACAAATACAGAGCGCCACCCTGCCAGCCAAAGTGCACGCCACTTGTATCTGTCTGTGCAAAAACAACTTGTTTGTCCAGAAGCACCCGTATCTTGTGACTTGCCCCTAGGGGAAGACAGGGACTGGAATGGTGAAGTCAGACAGGGCGAATGTTTATGAACTGATCTTTCTTCTCCAGTCAAGAGGCCTCTGTCAAAAATTGTGAAAAAGAAAGAAATCCAAACATGGGTGGTCAGTGACTTTTTCTGTAGAATGTATCACTGTTTTGTCAGCTGTTGAAATGTGACTTTTTGTCCATGAATATTTGTAAAAAGTGTCTGGGCCCAAACCTGACTCTATTTCATCACTGCAAAACAGAACCCAAGTGATTGAAATGAAAGAGACTGGTCAGTATTTGAACATACCCGTAACATTTACATAAATTTACATCTGTATCTGTCCCAACATACATGTAGTTGTAGTGAAGAAAAGTTGGGAGAAAACACTGATTATTTTCTTCCACTTTGAATACTCCATCAAACTTTATTACTGATTATGATTTATTCCTTGACTATTCCTGTTCGCCTTAAAACCCACCTGACCCCCCCCCAATGCCCAGAAACTGTCTCCCTCCCCCCGAGAAAACATGACATAGACCAATGCAAGTTCCCACATCTTTGAATCGGACATGTACCGGTACGTGTACATGTGCATGTATGTATGTGGATGTTTCTTCTTACATGTATATTCACACAAGGTACATGTACGAGTACATGTATTTCAAGTCAACCAAACTTACAGGGTGTTGGCTTTGACTTTTCCTGAATGCAATCTGTTACTTGCGTGTGAGCTCGATTTGTACAGTTGATTTAGAACTCTCTTCTGGGTTATTCTTCTGCAGTCCAACAAGCCCAGGAACGGTATCTTTTGCTTCCTAATAGAAGAAGCCAGGGAAACAACTGCTCTGGAACTACCCGAAAAGGATAACACATTTGTCTTGAAGGTAAGAATGTTAATAAAAAAAGGTAATTTATTGGCAGCTTTATTGTTACAAATTACACATACCGGTTTGATGTAAAACACAGTGAAAAGGGCCAGTTTTGGGAGCAGTGTTTTCCCTATGATTATAAATCTCGGCTTGGTTTCAGCACTATACTCGTACAGCATACATACATGATACTTGTGAATAGCGATATTCAAACAATTTTTTTTGGAGATACAGACATGTAAGCTTGTTTTCCTCAAGGACATCTGTTGTGGCATTTGCGTGTGTAGCAGGCCTGTAATGTGAAATACAGAGAACTGTTTTTCCCCAAGGGTCATTGGTCCAAGACCCTTGATAATTTTTAGCTTCAGGGTTGACAAAACATAAATGTTTTCTTGCACGGTCAAAGTAATTAAAGTTTGGTTGCCTAAAGAGATTTTCTGTCTTCTTGTACTGGTAAATGTACATCAAAACCTTTAAAAAAATCCCTTATCTAAGTTCAATTAGTTAAGTCCTGAAAAAAGTTCACATGCCTGTTCATGTAAAACCTAATATCACTTCACAAAGAGAGGTGTCCTCCTTTTTTCTTAACAACAGCTGTGTGCGGCAGCAGTTGTTTTGCTAATTGTCTCATGAATAATTAAAGGCTGGGTTTTATTTTATTGAATTTTTCAGGGAGACAACAGCCTTGAATTTGTCATCGAAGCACAGAGCATGCAAGACATGCGCTCCTGGCTGACCAACATTCAGGCCTGTATGCAGTTGCCCAGTTTACCAAGGTGAGTAGTCAGTCTGCTTGCTTGAGCAACACCCAGAAGATTGCTACAATTTTGCATAGTTCCTGTAATTTGTTTCAATGATTGATGAGGGAGGGGGAAGAGGTGTTTTCTTTTATCCTTGCAAAACTAGGAATATTTTGATTAAAAGTTGAAAATCTTATCTACATGTACAAGGGACCCTATGTACCATGTATGTAGGTTGTTTTAGAATTGCATGTACGGTACATATACCAGTACATGGAACTGGCATGTTAGGAAACCTATGTGCTCAAGCAGACCTGAGGTGAAAACCAGTCACAACAAATATTTACATACATGTAGACTCACATTTTTGTGTAGCAAATATTTTCTCTACTAAGCAAATACATACATTTACACGTATGTGCACCTGGCAGCTCTGTGAAGTTGACCCCTGAGTTGTTGAACCCATGGCCGCAGAATTGGGAATAGGATTTAGAATTGTATTGTTCAAATTGGAATGGAAATTCTCCAGCAGTTGGACACCAGAGGTGCTCCCCGATCATTTTGAAACAAAAAAAAATGAGTTTTACCGGTACCTTAGGCTATTCTCCCTTCTCTTTCCAATTGTGCCACATTGTGATGGACAGCCACGCGGAACCGGGCAAAGTTATTGACCCTTTGTGGAGCATATTCATGAAGGTCCCTTGCCCATAGCTGCCTTGCCACAAACAGCTTTTGGAGTGTTCTGAAGTGCGGTGCGGTTTTGCACTTGCAAATCTTGCGGAATTGATTCAGTTAGGATGAGGTGATGAGAGTGGTCAGGAAAGGACAGCCTGTCTCTCGCTGCATAAAAAAAACCCAGAGTACCCAGATGCTACCGTTACATGCACCTGAGCTTTTGTCTGACTGTACATGTACTTGTATGATGCTTCACATGTATGGGTTGTATTTCACCTTTGAATGATCCCCACAGATTTAACAGTTCTCTTGATCTGTAAGGTGGATCTAATCAGGGGAAGTTAAATAGAATCGGGGTGTAACAATCAAAAGCTGTATAGTTGCAGATATAGTGAAATATATTTTATATTTGGCTTCTCACTTCAGTCCGTGCAGAGTTGCTAATAATGCTGATATTACAAGATTTGCAAACTCAAATTTTCACATCACCCTAGAAAAAAAGTAGTGAATGCCTTACATGTAGGTCAGGAGGGGGGAAATGTGTTTTTAAAAATGACTATTTTTTTTTTCATCCTTAAAGATCCTTAAAAAGTTACCTTTTAAAGAGACTTGTTTGCATGGGCTTTCAGTTTCTAAACTGAAACAAAAAAGTGGTCAATGGTCTCCAACTCAGTGCCCCCTCTTTGTGATGGGTACCCCTCTTCTGAGGAGGGGAGGGTGGGACGGGGTGGGGAGAGTGCCCATTCATGAAAAAGATCACCAGGCGTACACGTACAGTACAGGGCACTGCGTACATGCACCAACATAAAGTACAGCCTTCATACATGTATATAGGTTGGAACACGCACATGCATGTGCATCATGAGTCATGTCTGTGGTCCTGTGCGCAGCCAACTACCAGGGGAGCCTTTGCCGCAGAAAAGTAGGCCGCTAAATCTGGACTTTTCCCTGTTTGGTTCTTGGATGATTGGATCTGTGCTTTTTTGCACTGTATGGAGCACCGGAGCGTACCTCAGGTGCTGATATTTTTGGACATGCTCCACTATTTCCTTGTTATCATGAGCGTATATCATGTAAGTCCAGCCAGCATGATTTTTTCTCCATCAAGGAACAGGTCCATCATATGTAACAGGTTGTCATGTTGTCACAGGTTGTAAGCTTATGTGATAAATTAGAAGGATTCGTTAAATTTGTTTGTGGATTATTCATTTGAAAAAGATTTCATTTCATGAAATCTCAAATGGACTAATACATTTACCATGTGCTTTATTGCCGCATTGTAACACATTAAGGCTTTGGTCACAGAACAGACTTTGTTGGGCCATTGACTCCACGTACACACATCACAAGTCATTGTTTCTGAGTCCAGTCAAGTCTCAAGTCAAAAAAAAAAAATTGCGATACATGTCAAACTGGGGTCCAAGTCATCAATTCAAGTCAGCAACACCTGTGTTGAATGTCATTGCTATGCAACATCAGAATACGTATACATGTGTACATACTGTACATGTACATGTTCTAGTAGGCCCACAGGCATTTTTGCACACGGTAGGTGGGACAGTTGCTTTCATTTTCAAACATCTTCTCCGTCACTCACTCAGCTTAAAATCAACAATATACTTTCGTTATTTCATATGCTACATGTACCACAGCAAGTGCATATTATACATATACATGTACCGGTACATGAGGCAATTTTATTTCCTTGTTGGGTCTACCGTAATTTCCCCCATAGGATTCATGTATTGCTGTCAGTTTATAATTCTGTTGTACTGTGCCGGTACATACTGGTACATGTATAGGTCATGTGTAGCAGTACGGTACATGTGCACAATCCTCCAATGTAGAGAGCTGGTTTGACGACTTCTATAACATGAATTCTTTGCCTAACCTGCCTGTACATACGAGGCAAATACAGGTGTACATGTATGTATGTTTTTAACAGCACTTTGTACCAGATGAGGGCCAAAAATTTGTTTGATTCCTTTTATAAATGCCATAACAGAAAGGTCTCAAACATTGTCAAACAGCATAGGCAAAGAATTTGACAACTTGAGATTGTAATCTTACAGTTATAACTGCATGGCTTGCTTGATGCCATTTGGCAGTATCAAGTGTTTAGAACATAAATCTGTGTATAAATGTCATAAATAATGGAAACATTTTACCTGTTTGCACGCAGTGTACCTGTACATTAAAAGGTGACATGTTAGGTGTGCTTGTGGATACGTACATGTGTGCATGAAGTTTGTAGGATTCTCAAATACAACAAGAATTTATTAAACTCAGATTACCTCTGACCAAGTAGCGGAAGGAAGCAAGTGTGGATTAGAATGAAACAAATTATGCATTGTCTCTTAGATACATGTACAAGATGATTTCGACAGTTCATGCTGTTAGGATCTTTTGTACGTGTATGGTATACGTACAAGATAGACTGTTTGTGAAGAAATTTTAAAAAATCAACTGTGTATACTGGGAACTACATGTACATGTACATATTTGTACATGTACATGTACATACATGTATTTGAATGTACAGAAAGAAAACTCAAATACCAGTACCTACATGTACATGTCATAACCACTAGATATAGGCCAGTTTTTTATTGTGCACCATCATAAAAGGGTTGTATCTCTCATTTATTTCTTCAGTACATGTCTGTCATATTGCAGCGCCCTTCATGAGATAGCAGAAGTAAAATTGTGAAGCGGGTTCACATGTGTACATGTAATACGTCATTTTGTTTCCTTCTCGTTTCCATTTTCACTTCTGCTTTTGTTGTATGCCGGTACATATGTAGGTTCCCTTATCTCATGGACATGCAACTGTGTAGTCGTTCAGGGATTCTTGTGATTAGTGTTTAGCAAATAAGAATTGTTTTCTGCCTTGCAACGATGAATGCTTACAAATGCCATGTGTCGTGCTAGCGATATTTTACAAAATTTTTTAAAATTAAAAAAGAAACATTTTGCAAAATGGCTGTAGATGTTAGCTTTGCTTTAAACCTACGGACATTTGAAACTAACTTTCCTCATCTTGTCAATAATTGATGTCATTTTCTGGCCTTTGTGTCCCTCTCAACAGGAGACCCTTACCCAGTGTGCCTCATTCACCTGAACCACCAGCCACTTCTGGCTCCTTCAGTTTCTTGAGACCAAAACCCAATCTCACAGTTCAAATACCCCAACCTGGTAAGTCAAACTAAAGTGTACAAGCAGACAGGATCCTCCAAGGACTTAGTGATTCAAACTCTCCGTGATTTTTCACTGTTCCATAGAATGCCTGATTTTTCCCCTATCACTTGGGTGTGGCAATGGGCAATGTACCCCCCTTTTTCTATAAATAGTAGCTACATGTACACCCAAGCCTGATTATTTGCAGACTCCCGTGCAAAAGTTGTACCCTTGTGGGTGACAGAGTGAGTGGGCTGATTGTGGCTGTTGTGTACCTTGTGTTTCATACAAAGATCCTACCTGTTTGCACCATTGATTACTATTAAACTGTCAATCAAATGTCCACAGTCATTTGTTATACATGTAATATTCAGCTGTAATCAGCCAGCATTTTGCTACATCTGAGTGTAATCATTGGTGATTTGATACAAAAAGTGAGTGTTGGAAGTTCAGCTAGAAAAATAGTCGGGCCACTTACAAAAATATTAATCCACATGTTCATCTATATTCCTCAGTATTAATAGAAAAATGTAGCAAGTGCACAAGTGATTTGATACAAAAAGTGAGTGTTGGAAGTTCAGCTAGAAAAATAGTCGGGCCACTTACAAAAATATTAATCCACATGTTCATCTATATTCCTCAGTATTAATAGAAAAATGTAGCAAGTGCACAATACGAAAAGGTTAGAAAACATCAGTGGTTGAAACTGAGACCTTTCAGTATTGCCCAGGTGTCAGTAATGGAGCAGCCAATCTAGTGTACACATTCATGTACATTCCCAAATCATTCTGGCTGAAAGATTTCTCAAGGTTATTTCAACACTGCATGTGTCTGAAAAAAGGGGGGTAGACTCTTGGCAGTTTTGTTAGATGATGTATTGCGTCTTGTGCCCCCAGAATCACTTTTAAATGTTTCATTTCGAATGGACTAAAAATTATCAGTCTTTTATAAATTCACATAAACCAGCTTGAGGTTTCTGTAAGCAGACTGTTGACTGCATTGAGCAGTAAGACTTCAACCTTTGAGATTGAACTCATAAAAGTAAATTCTGAAGTCACAGAAGGAGAAGAAGCCAAGATGAATTTAGAAAACACCCCTAGGTCTCTTCCATTTGCACTCTGTGAAATCCCTCCTCCCCCCCTGCAGAATTGTCACCGGATGGCCCCAACTCCCGAAGCCCCCTCACCCCAGAGCACTCCTTTGAGGGCTTCTCCAGCCAGGATCCCAACCCACCCATCTCCCCGCCGCCACGGATCCCACCTCGGCGTCGCCATGGCAACAGTCCGGATCGGCTGCCCAGTGGGGGCTCAGATGGGCCCGTGACCCCGGAATTGCCCTCTATGCAGATGCAGGCCAGGCCACTGGGTGAGTACTGTCCTGGAGGTCAGTGACAAAGAATAGACAGTCAGCCTCTTGCTGCAATGAGCTCACAGCTCAAAATTCATTTGACGGATGCACTGGAATGCCCAGTGCATGCTTGGCTTTCACACGCCATACCTGTGCCAAAATAGACTGAAGTCATCAGCCAATCAGACCCCAGGTAAGGCAGACTCAGCTCAGCTCAGCTCACACCAACCAGTGAAATAAATCTCAGAAACTTCAGACCAATCCCAGAAGATGCCATTGTTGTGGTGACACCACGTTCGTGGGTGTTTCTATATGTGAGGTGCACATGCATTTTGGCAATTCTTGCTCCTCTATTGGACTAAGAGATATTCCACGTCCCCCTCCCGTAATGGCTTCTACATGTCATGCTGATCACCTGATTAATGTCTTTAATGTTGTCGCCTGACCTTATGTAGTGAGGTCAGATTTTTCCACTCTCAGGCAAATAATCAGCTGCCTTGGGTGGTATCATGGCCATTCTGGTAGACTCATTGTATGGTCATACCATTAGATACATTTTACATGCACGTATTTGACACAGGCAGGTAGCATTGATTATTGTCTGCAGGCATGTACATGTACATGTACATTGTATGATGAGAATATGTATCGGTACCGCTTCATGTAATTTCAGGGCTATGTAATTTAGCTCCTTGGTCATTCAGATATCATCAAATTATAAAACCCTGCCTTTTCTCAGGCTGTGGATGTGTACACTGATATGAACAAGAAATTGCCCACAGCAGACACAAGTCACATTTGTTGAAATCGACACAGCAGACCAGCAAACCCAGAATTCTGTGCCTTGCTTGTTTAGAGGTCAAGAGATTGCCTGATACTACATGTCCATATAGCAGACAACCTTGAACTTGGACGCACTGCTTCCGGTCAAGGCTGTGTGAGCTTGTAAATGACAAGGCCAAGTGCCTGATGGACACAAAGGAGCTCCGTCCAGTCATACAGGATTAAGAGGGTCAAGGAAAGAAACTCATACAGGTTATTTCCCTGCAGAGAAGTTTAGTTCAAATAGTGTAGAGCCATTTCGCACCAGTCTACAGAAACACACTTCACAAAGAACTGTAATTTACTGAAAAATTTGTTCCTGTCTTTATTTCATTTCCTTTGAATCATAGCAACAAACCTGTTTCATACGTGTAGGTGAGATGGATTTGATGCCAAATCCTTCTATATTCTGCTGCTAGTAGTGGTAGAAATGCAGTGTTTATCAAGAAATGAACAACTGTCGGAAATCAGGCCACAAAAATGAACTACAACACTGCACACAAGTATGAAATTACATGAGGTGAAAAATGGCAAGGGCTTACAGACGTAACTTGACTGAAACATGGAGATTGTGACGTGAGCATGTACAATTGTACATGTTCATGAACCTTGTTGCTAGCTGATTATACATTCCCCCCCCCGTCAATACCTATTGATTAGTTAACCCTTAAGCCCTGGCCCCTTTTTTTCTTCTTTCATTCTTGTTTCCACCCTGAACTCAATTCAAGGTGTTTGTTGCCACCGGTTCTGTTTTCATGGTTGCATTGATGAATGCTCACAGGGTGGCCGCCACCACTGGCTCGGCAAGGTACAATAGCAAAGTGTGTGCCCGGGCACTGCAGTAGGTAACAGGGGAAACTGTTGGATCATTCACTGCTGTGTATTATTCATATCCTGCTTTTCCTGGTATATTGCTGCGGTTGTCACCAGTGCAGATCCAAAGTTAATTTGACAGGGCTGCCTGCAAATTGGTCTCAAAGTTTGTGGTGTCAAAGTTGAGGTCACAGCTTTTATGGATGTGGAGAGAGAACTTTTTCTGCCAATATCATGGATGCTTACAACTGGGCCTTTCTGTTAGGGGGAGGGGTTACCCTGTCATGTTTTCTCTGACTGGAACTTGAAATTTGCAGGTGTTTTGTGGGTTAAGGGCACTTCCTTTTGTCCCCACCTTTTATCAAACAAAACTCAAAGTCAACAACATTCTGTTTGAGTTTTTTGCACAGAGTTTCAAATGCTGTTTTACATTTCCCGTTATTTTTGTGTTCTTAAAACACTCAGGTTTCAGCCATTGTGTGGCAGGTTATGGTACTCTACCTATAATTGGTTTTAGTGGCAGATCTACAGGTTGTTCAGTGAATCCGTACATTGGGTGCTCAAAATTTGAAAATTGATCATGAATTCTCAAGAATCCAACAATGTACAATACATGTATAATGTATTGTTGGAAAGAAGGCGCCCCATTCTGAGGGGAATTTTTTACAGTCAATGACTGTGTTGAACTGGCAGCCACCAATTGCTGCTACATACATGTACATGTACAGGTACATGTACTGTACATGTAAGTGTACATACATGTACACTTTACACGTACATGTATGTCTGTTTGTGCATGGATTGGGTTGCTACTGAGCAGGAACTGGCTGAAATTGCAGACCCTCATGAAAATGTTCAACCTTGGGCAAATTAATTTAATTTTCTCGTTTTCATTATAACTTTATAACAGACTAGTCTCATAGAGTTGTATTTAAAGTGCAGGAGTTTGCTAAGCACAAACAAATATTGGCACAGTGAGAATAGCCTATCGTCCAAATATTCCATGATGATAATTACTGGTGGCTCACGGCTGTGGTAGCGTAATGAAAGTACCAAACAATGCTTTCTGATTAGCAGCCACATGCAGGGCAACAGTTTTGGTTTCTTTGGACAGAACTGAATAAATAAGATTCCCCCAGACAGCCAGATTTTATTTAGGATCCATGCAGTAGTGATTCGATAGCTCGTTTATACTCGCTTGTACTTGAACATAGAATCTTTCCTCTAAACATCATTTTCTTTTGTAGTGTAACCAAGGATAATTACTTAAAATATGGTTTCCTTTTAAATTTAACTTGTGCTACACACCGTATTTTTTTGTTAAAATCTAGACGGATCAAATCAGAACATCAATTTGGAACTAGAAGAAACAGCCACGGTGTCCGATCACCCTCTGAATGAGTACCCATGGTTTCACGGCACCCTGTCCAGGGTGGACGCTGCCAAGCTGGTTCTGCAGGGAGGCAACACAAGGCACGGTGTGTTCCTGGTCAGACAGAGCGAGACACGGCGCGGGGAGTGCGTACTGACATTCAACTTTCACGGCAGGCCCAAGGTGAGTTGTCACAATGAGAGATCCGAACCAGTCGTCGCTGCTGTTATTTCACGGCGAACTTGTCCCAAAGCATGCGATTATCTGGGGCTGAAAAAGTGTGACTTTTTTAAGCAGCGTACCATAGTCAGACTCCATTACTCCATTGGATTTCATAAATGATCAGTTGCCAGTCATAGCTCAAGATCTGTGCGACACTCCTTGTCACGTTGTGTTCTTTTTCATACATTCTCTCTGTGAGCAAAGCCTGTGGGAATCACAGTACCTTTATATACACATCACCCAGCTGCTGTGTATACAGAAAACGGCCATGCCATGTTTATAAGTCCTATAAACTATCACAGAAAGTTGACAATATGAGGGGTGCTATCAAAATTTTCCTGTGGAGGAAAAAAGAGAAAATTTGCACATTTTGCCCTGTGCTATGTGTGCCCATCGGGGCATAATGTACGCACCAGTATGTGTGTACAGTGAGTGGATATGGGGTGCTGGACCTATCAAAACAACTTTGGCTTTACAGATTTCCAGAGGCGTCACTTCTCCAACCACTGCCCGACATTCGTTTGTGTGTAACAAAACCACATGTACCCCTAAGGCCTGTGCAGAAATTTTTAACGAAAGAGACACAGCGATTCTATGGCTTCACACAATGTGAATACGCATTTGCTTTGTGTTGGCATACAAACACGGACACAACCTGAGTATTCTGCTGAAATACTGTGCTCGGTATGCCCAGCACTTTTCACTTTCGAGTGGTTTGACCTCTTCCTTTGCCAAAAGTTACTGACAAAGGATACGTAGTATCCTTTGTCATAGTATGCGCATAGTATAGTATGTGTATAGTATGCGCAAAAACTTTGATACTAATAGACCAGAATATGATATAAATTTGATATTTCTTTCATAACCATTGCAGAAGAAAATGTCAGAAACTGAAATGCCCATCACACCTCACAGCCTATCACACTGATTAAAATCCGATTGTTAAAGTTAACATTTTTCAATGTACAAGTTTTAAATTGGTTGCTGTGTACGATTTTTTTTCCAAGTACAAGCAAGTCACAGACCTCAATGGCAGAATTTCTCGGCTCGCTGCGCTGTATGTATACTCTGGAACAAGCGGAGTCACCAGAGACATTAATTTTGCGAACAGCGTTTCTGGAAAGTCAGAAAAATAGGCAACTCCCTTCTGAGAAATGCCACTTGGGGAGGTGTGTACGCATCAGCTGGCAGATGGCATTGACATGTGGCGTTTTGCACGTAGTGGCTGACTTATACATGTACATGTAATTAGGAGGCTGTTGCATGCAAGACTGAGTAAACAAATGAGATGGTTGCTCATCCTTGTGTACTTCCCTTTTTCCTGGATGGTCTCCCCTTTTTGAATAGTAGTTTAAAAAATGTTTTCATTCAGTTGATGAATTTTGTTGAATTGAAAATTTACTTTTTGTATTTTGTAGCAAAATAGTCAGGTGTCAGTGTTACAGTAGTTTTAAGCCTGTTTGGTGAGGAGAAACCTTAACACAGAAAGTATTGATAAAAGGGCCAAAAGAATGCATCTTGAAAAAATCCCTCATCTTGAAAAAAAGGGCTGCTTCCTCTCTTTTTTAAATAAACCGTGATGAGAAATTGTTTAAGTTCTTTAGCCGGCCCAATGGGTACCCCTGCTGGGCAACCATGCAGGCCAGGTGTAGAAGTAAATAATGTAATCAAGAGCCAGCTGGCTGGAAGGTTATTGTAATTACACTGCACTTCTACGAAATGCTACAAGAGTCTGTGGTTGTTGACGAAAGAACCAGCCATGCAGTGTACAAATCTGAGAATCCTAGAAAACGTCCTGATTGCATCCTATTGCAGGGTAGTTCAGGGCCATCCACAAAGTACGTGTGCACTAGGCAGGTGGAGGGGCGGTGTTGCTCACCTTGTGTATTGCGAAAGGGGATAATAGCAATACGTACATGTATATTTACATACATGTATGCAGAGGGCTACTTCTGCTTTCAAGAGAAACTATTAAATTAATGTACTTTTTTAAAGTTTGGTATTAAGTATTTGGTTCCCCCCTCCCCCGGACAAGTTATTGAGGGAAAAAGACCGGCTTAGGAGAATGGACGCCACCGTCAGCATTCATTCTCCTGAGCAAGGTCTTAAGTGTTACTTTAAGACTGGCCAAGCACATATTTATTCCCACTCTATACCTTTTTATTCAGAGAGTCAAAAGAAGTCAAGATATGATGGATTTCCAGTGATTTTGCTCTAAATCTTTGCTTTCATTTTCACCACCTCCCTGGTCCATTTATGTTACATGTATACTCCTTTTAAAAATTGTCCAATAGAACCCCCTTCAATGAAATTGGTACGCACGTGGCACGTCCCATGCACACAGTCGTTCTATGTACCGGTACATTTACTTTTATATGAATGGCCCCCTCTTTGTCTGCATACTTCTTTTAATATGCCTTATGCTTGTCGATTTCAAAAGGTACCATACATGTACATGCAGTTCGAAAAACATGAAACGTCCTTCCCATGGTTTTGGAAACTCGATGTGTCATTCCTTGTTTTTGTACAGTTTCAGTCACTGAAAAGTCTAAATGTCTTTCAAATATCCTTCCTGGCAAGGAGCACTTCATGAAACAGGATTTGCATTCAATTTTCTGCAGTATGAACTCACCTGTATTTGAGAAACCAGCCCAGTGATTGAGGACAGTTGTTTTCGGGTACATGTACTTACACATGTATCTGTGAATGCAATCAGTGCCCCTGAAACCTTTTAAAAAAGGTCTTCACACTCATTACTTTGAAATAAGAAACCATCAATTAGAAAGGACGATCATCTAACTCCCTTTGCTAGAATGAGATTTTTTATGTCTTTCAAATGGAATACATGTACATGAAGCAAGTTTATCAAGTTGCTAAAAAACACATTTAGCTCTCTGGCTCCAGCTGAAGTCAGAAAAAGGCTATCCCTGTGGGAAAAGATGAAGTGACTAAATTCAGAACCAATTTTGTTAAAAGATTCAACAGTTTTTTTGCAGGGAGCCAAAAAATAGAAATTTTTCTGTATGTAACCTCTTTGGCCTTTCTGAGGGGTGACGGTATAAGTTTTGGGTTCTTGTTAAATACATTTGGAAGGAAAGAAAGGAAAGGAATACTCCGAAATCGCCTCAGTCTCATTAGTTTTATTTTAAAAGTTGCCCCCTTTTTGAGCGGAAGAATTACCCCCGTTGTCCCCCCTACCCCTTGGAGCTGCCTTTGGCTCTGCATACAGTTTTGTCTGTGTTCAAACAGTAAATGGGTTGAGACAGTACAACATTGCTTTGGCCAGCTTACTGCCAGAGACTGAGATGGCTCCGCACACATGGCGCATGTACAGTACATGTATGTGTATCTGTCAGTAGGAAAAAATGGCTTTTCCTGTTAACAAACCACAGCTAAGATGTTGGTAATTGTGCAGTTAAGAAAATCTGAAATTCTTTGAGCCTGGGGCTGATGTCACAGTGCTCTTACACTCGGACGTTTTGCTAAGAAAAGAATATATGTTCAGGTTACCAGCCAAATTGCTATTAAAAGATACAAAGGATGTTACTTGGGACTGGTTCTCTGCTCAATTTTGCTTACCACAGAAAATCTGCCAAGGGCCCAGCTGGCAGTTTGATGCTATTTTGCCAGCACAAGTTTTTCTTACAGGCTCTTGGAATGCCTTGAGCGCTTGTGCTTTATAACGTAAAATACTTGATATTAAATTGTCCATGTCATTTATGTCTTCATTGCAGTAATGTGCAATTTATATTGAGTGCAGTTAGAGAGCTGGTAAGAAGATTGTCTTGGCTCCAAGGCATCCCTTGTGGTGCGATATTAAGGCATACCAGCCCTGGTGTGTGTTTTAGGGAGACCTGCTTTGGTGAATTGTTGTATTGTCACAGGCTGGTAATCAGATACATTTGTATGCTGAGACATTGCACCAGCAAGGACATCAACCAGTAGAAATCAAGACTAGCGAAAAGAAAGATCACAAGCTTACTTTAGGTTAGAGTAGAATCCACAACTGCCTGTCACTAAAGGCTGGTTCATGCTTCACGTGAAAGTGAAAATGAGTGCAGATTCATGAAATCAGATCAAATGTTCGCACTGTAAATTTGCAAAAGATGAACATGTTTCAACTGGAGCAAAATTTCACTGGAAATCATTCATGATATCAGATTCGCTTCGCTTTCGTATTCACCTGAAGTATGAACTGGTCTTAAGGCAACACTAAGTGTCTGGGCAGAAGACCCTAGTTTATAAAGCCTAGCAGCACCTTGTATGGTGCATTTGCCTTGTATGGTGCATTTGTTATCAATTTTAGGAGATAGATCAATGCTTTGTTTTATCAACAATTAATTTGCCATCTTTACCAATATAACTATGGTGAAGATTTAATGCTTTAACTTGTACCAGCACCTCCAGCAAGCTTTTAATATTTTTAAAAGTCAGATTAGATCACGCAATCTTCCACATGAATGTTGGAGGGTGCTTTTGGCTGATTTATGGACTCAAACTCTTGAGTTGCAACTGCTTCAGTAAAATCTAACTAAAGGCCTGATCGGTGCCAAGGTTCAAATATCGTGCAGTTTGTTTTTTCTAGAAGGAAGGATTCAAAGTCTTTTTCCTGTCTTTTTCACCCCTTTCCCTCTCGTAGCACCTCCGACTGACACTTGACCTCAGTGGGCGTTGTCAGGTCACCCACATGTGGTTTGAGAGCATCTTTGACATGCTGGATTACTTCCGCTCCAACCCCATCCCACTGGACAGCCGGGACGGGGCCAGCCAGCCCGACGTCACCCTGACGGAGTTCGTGCCCAACGCGCAGTCGGTCAGCACCCCCAGCACCCCGCTCACACCCGCCACGCCTGAGGCAGGTGTCAACCGAGACAGTGGGGGCGGGGGCAGTGGCAGTGGGCTGGGTAACCCCAACTCCCTCCTGGTCTCCTCCAACGAGTTCCTGGGCTCGGGCAGCCAGTTCTCCCTGTCCATGAACTCTGGTGGCCAGTCGCCTTCTCCCCTGGACGGCCAGGGTAGAGGCTCCTCCACCAGAGCCGTCAAAAACCAGTATTCATTCGTCTGACGTTTTGTGCACGGAAGTGTGAAGACTTGAAACTTTTTTTGAATGTTGACATGTGTACAACCACAGTGAAATCCTACAAGGTAGAAGTGGTGGTGGGAGTGATGTTGACAATTTTGGATTTGAGATCTTGCTGCAATGAATTGGTTGCCACACCTGTACCATAATGTGCATTTGACCAAACATAGTCAGTGCCTGGCACGCTCACATTGTAGTTTAGTTCATTGCAAATCCTTAAACACTATTACTCTCGGTTTTTGTTTCTGAAGTCAAGGCTAATTTCCTGTAAAAGGATTGTAAAAAGAGACACGGCACATCTGTGTCCTCTTAAAGTGTCAGTGACTTGTCCTTAGCTTGCAAATTTACGAGCAAATCAAGCTCTTCGTCATACATCCACACTATTTCCTGTCCAATAGACATTCTTACATGTTCATGTAGATGTGGTGAGTATGCACATGTCAACGAGCCCACTAGGGATCAGCACTGCACACCGTACTTTATGCACATGTTGCCTACATTTATGATTTCTTCTTTACCACATGCTGTATGTCTCTCCTGCTCTCCGAATGGCCTATAATTTCTATTTCAGATGGTAACATGAACCACACACAACTTCTTGTGTGGCAGGCAGTAAATGTTTTTATTTCACTCAAATTTTTTTTAAAAACTTTCAACAAGGGATGCACCATTCCAACGTTGTGTTTGTAGTTTTTCAAAGTCGTTGTTTTATTTGACACAGTGGAGGGATTCAGCACTCATTTGGGGAGAATGTTGCTGTGAAATATTTATATTTTGGTATTTGATGATATGCAAGTGTTATTTGCTCAGCAGGGTCTTGAAAGTGACTTGCCAAAAATGTGCACAAAAACTTTGAATCCTTGATTCAAACTAAGATCTTGTTGAAAGTCAAGATTATTTCCAACCAGTCCACAACAGAACCACCAAACATCAGCATTTAATCTCTTGCAACAAATTTTCTATAAATCTGTGACCCCTACAGTTAATATGCAGACATTAGTGGACCAATCAGGAGAAAGGGAAATCAGGGAATCTGTATTTATGTGGTGTGGGAGGGGGAGAGAGAGCCAGGTCTCAGCTCTGGGAGTGTACCTGTCCATGCAGTTGATTTTCAAGTAGGAGAAAAATAGTAGACTAAAGTGCAAATGGATCTTCAAGTGCTCTCCTCCAGTTTTTTGCACCCCCCGAGTGATGCAGGGCATTGCTGCTATATCTCTGATGAAGGATGCATGGAAGTGTCACTATTTTTGAGATTCTTGGCTAGGCTAAGAAGCACCCTACTACATATACATGAATTTGCCATTGGATGGATACAAGTATTTGCAGTAAAGTAGGTTGCTCAAGGACACAGTTGGTGTAGTTTCCACATCAGGATGAGTCTGCAGATGCACTAGGCACAACAATGTCGTTATATTCGGAATGGCTTCAGGAAGTGTGGTATTATTCTAGCATGTGGTCTGCCATTGTGTTTATAAATTTTGTTTTTGTTTTTTTTTTACCAAAGGAGCAGATAGATTTCCTTATATATTCACTGCTTCTTTTTCTGTGTTCTTTGGACGTGGAAGGGCAAACACATTGTGGATAATTATAGTTCATCTCTATCTGTATGTAGCATGACATACATGAGTAACTTACAGGTTTTTCAGGAGGGAAATTACACACGGAATGCAGTGCACGCCACAAACAAAGAAGACGTGCAAATGTCCATTATGTATTTTGTTCGCATTCAGAAGAAAGCCTTCCTGAGGTTCATGCGAGTTTTGCAGCTTTCTTGTGGGAAAACGTTAATGGCTTAGATTAGTGGCAAAAGGACTTTGTGTGAAACCCAAAAGTAGTTTTTTCGTGATTTTTTTTTCAGGGAGAGGACTGAAAAGCTTGTATAATTTTGTTTACATACTTATCTTTGTTACAATCAATAAGACACAGCCCTGAAATCCTCTGGGTTTTGAACATTATTGATCGAAAGCAGTAATTGGATAACTCCTCGCTTCTAGCATGCCAAGCTTGGCTTGTATCTGAAATTGATTTCTGAAAAAAAGATGCACTACAATTGGTATTTTCCAAGTCTCCAAGCACAAGAGCTTGTGTAATGCAACCACAAATTTGGGCCAGTTTTTGGAAACTTCCAAAATGGTTTCTGCAAAAATACGAATAAATTCTCTGAAACTACATGTATGGAAATGTCGTAGCGGATGGTCAATAGTGGAAACCGGGTAAAAGGAAAAACAGATCCATTTGCGTTCATGTGCATTTTCAGAGAACAGTTTACTGTGAGGAAATACTCGTGGGAAAGAGACAAAAACAGGATGTGCCCACCTGTAGAATTTCTATAATTATGAACATCACAGGATGAGCAACTTTCCCTCTGACGACTACAGCCGTCTTCTGAGGATTTATCTCTGGGTCTGAGAGATACTTCCCTTAGTCAGCCTTTAGATGCTGAACCTCCATTAAGACTTGGGTCCACCTGTTGCCATTAATTGTCCCCCGCCCTTTAGACTACAGGCACTTACCAATAGAGTTCTGTACCTGTATTTGGTCTGACTATAAAACCTGAGTGCTCAGTGTGCTACCAAGGTACACAGGATCACTGTGTTTCTTCTCTTTTTTTGACGATATTAGAAATGATAACTGTCATGCAGAAAATTAAAACTTGACTGATTTGTAGTACAGTGGATAGCTAACTCTTTGTAATGGAGTGGAGAAAACAATTCATACTTGGTGCTCAGTTTCGTTTTACCAAGTCTGTGTGATTATTTTTGATGATGTCTCGGCTACATTTATTTGGCACCAGGATCCGATTTCACAGAGTGGATGGGCAGTAAATTTACATCCGCCGATGATGATGATCTTTGCAGATCCACAAGTGTCATTTACTGCTGGCCTAGGGGCTGAACCTGACACACCAAAAAATGCCCCCCGGTCGGTGTCAAGATTTGTAAAAGACGTCACACCCAAGTCATCTTTGAATTGCCTTCATATCCTACCATTACTATGAAGTTCTATTGTACGCTAAGCTGTGTGAAGGACTACTGTTGCAGAAAGTTTTGTGTGAATGCTGTGTTTTTTCCCCTTCTTTTCACTTGGTAAGATTCTTGATCACTACACCTGATTCTGTTCACCATTTCATCCCTATATCAAGTCGTAAGTATCTCCAGCTGCTAGGCATGAGCTATGATGTCCTTGAAGTTTGTCCTCTAAAGGAAACTCGGAATGAATGAGATGACTTGCCCTTGTCAAATGCTGTAATCTACTTCATGACAGACGAAACTAGAAATAAAATATTTACTCCCCAAAATAAGTTGTCATTAACTCTGGTATTTCTTTCATAAGGGCTACCAAGGTGCTTTTGTTTACTTGATTAGGACTACTCACGTGTTTGCATCGATGTTGTATATGTTATGGCCACTTGCTCACATGCAGTGAGGTAATGTATACCAACAGTACAGCAGTGACACATTCAAAGACTGTACAGAGTATATACTTCAAGTATGTAACAGCCAAGAAATATTTCATCTTGCACCAATATGTTCACTTGTATATACTTTTGTGATCACAGCTGTTTTTAGGAGTTTTGGTCTAACAGAACCCCTTTTTTTGTAATTTTTACACGTACATGTACATAAGTATATATTCTGTCTTGCCGTTTAAGCTTTATTGTAATACGATTTGGCTCTGCAAGTTGTATTTTTCTGAATGCAATCCTGTCTCATGTCAAAATCTGGCCTTGAATTCTTTCTTAATGTAGAAGGTTTTGAAAGAACTACTTTTTCAGTGAAAATGTATTATGTAGAAGGACAATTTGAAATTTTTGCCTCAGTGTGGGGCATCAACTTGAAATAAACCCCCTCTTGACACTCATTTTCAGAGACTTTAAGCCCCGACGGTAACCTTCTGTCATGGGAACGATTGGTCCCCAGAGTCACAGATAGTTTAACAAATCTAAAATTGAAATTGAAAACTTTGTATTCATGTATTTAAAAGACTGTACATACTATGATGAACAAAAACAGGGTTCTTCTTCTGAGAATACGGGCGATTCACAATAGTGCGCCTCCAAGAGTTTGCAATGCATTGGCCAACCACAGCGCTTGAAATCTGTCGACCTTTTCCAAACCTGCATTGGGTTGACAAATTTCGCACACTGATTGGTCAATGCGTTGCAAACTCGAGGAGGTGTACTATTGTGCAACCCACGTATTGTGTTTTACGGGGTTTTGTGTTATCAAACAAAGAATCAAATGTATTAAACATTGTCTTTGTTCAGAGAGCAAAGTGATGATGCAGTAGCAACAAAATGTGGAATAAAATACCTCTACAAAGCAAAACTTTAATGTTTGAAATGCACTCTGTAGGCCCTTTAAGCTTCTGGTATTTTGTAAATGACATCACTGGTATTTTGGTCGTGTTTTATACTTCCTTCAGACAGAATTACTCCTTGCTCTTCACTTAGTATTATATCCCGTTGTGTAGGCAGTAGTTAATGAGAAGCAGTAATGATTTGAACAGGATAAATATAGAATTAATCATTAAAAAGCCTGTTGGAGGGGGAAAAAAGGAGAAATCATCTTCCTATTGTATTGTTAACATGAATCTTGAAGTCCTGTTTTAATGCAGCTTGAATGGGTTGGCAAAACTTTCACAGTATTTCCAAGCAATGCCCATCCTGAAACCTTCGTGGCAGTGCATGCCCAAATAAGGGTGTTTTCATGTTCTCCAGGATTGGCTTCCACAGTGATTTGTTCAAAGCCAGTCCTTTCTTTATCTCCTGTGAACCGTTCCTAAGGCATTGTTTGAGTTGCTTTGAAACGGTGATCCGTCCCATATAATTCTGCTACCTTTTCAAGCACTTTTATGGAAGGCTGCAGAATCTCTTCAGACTAGCAGAATTCAGACACATTGCTATATATGAGAGACCTTGTGTTTGGTTGTGAAACTGGTGTAGTGAAACAAATTCAGCCTGGTGGAGATTCAAGTTGTGGTGCAGTGGCTAATTAACTAACCTCCCCATCTTGGCAACATTAATTTTGACATAATATTGAGGGCTTGGGGAGTCTCGAAACTCCCTTCATGAAACAATGTCTACTTGAAAATGATGGTTCATTGTTCAAAGTCTTCGGTCTCTGCATCTGTTCAACTCATCAGGAACCCTTCCTTCTCTTGGCTTTAAAAAGAATCTGGATGCCGGCCTCCTTTTTATAAATTCCGGACCTTCCTGTGAATAGAAGTGCCTCTCTTTGCATTTAAACAGCCAATCAGATCAAATGAAATGACCAGAAAGTAACACGAGACAAATCAAGTGGCTTGAGTATTACTAATTTTTGAAAGGGGGAAATAACAGAAGTGTGGGGGGGGTGTTTTGAAAGGGTTACACCATATTTAAGTACTCTTACGATTACGTTCAGCCAATTATAAAACTAATAGGAAGAAACTGATGTAAATGTGTATTGCCAGACCTTGGTCTGATTGCACATCACCATGTTTTACTTTGGGGTGTGCATGTTGCAATTTTCAGTAATATTTTAAGAAGTGTCTGGATTACAAACTCAAACGATAGTGCTTCTTTTATCTCAGACCTTTTTTTTTTCAAATTGATATAAGATAGCATATTTTGATACGTAGAATTGAGCATGTAAAAGGGACCCATCTTTCCTTAAAGGCAGATCTGTGCTTGTTAGACCTTGCCTTTTAAGGGCTTGTTATCAAAAAGGTTTTCTACATATGCATTTGTTGAATTGAAAAAAGAAATTCCTAAATTGAAATCTGCAACATCAGTTTGTGCTGAATTTGGGTGCAAGCCAAGGTTTGTACAAAAGTAGCATTGTTTATAACTTTGAAATAATATTTAAGATATTTTTCTATCAAGGCAAACATACTGTATGGAAATATTATGACGCAAAGTAACGCAGTATATACAACTTTCAAAGAAAGATTAGCTAGCGGTATTTTGTCAAGTTCATTGGAATGTAAATATATTTGACAACCTTGTATGTATGATAGCTGTACATATTATAAGGATGTTATTTTGGATAACATGAGTACATGTATTTGGTGACTGGGTAGATACACCGATATAGCAATTACCTATGATACCACGCAGTAGGCTGAGCTTGTAACTGTGTTTAATGTTAATAAAATATGAACACCGATAAGTGCATTAATTCAACCCAAGACTCACCCTGTGATAGCTCCTTTAATGAGGTCGCCCAGATCATGCATCCGATGAAGAGTCAAGGGTAATTTTAACTTGTTTAGTTCTGATAGAAGTTTTACTTTCACTTGAGACAGGTGTACACAGAAGGTGCATGGAAGAGATCAATTATAAACAGTGTTTAATTATGCCATTTTAAGGGCTCAACCCCACACTTACTCAGATGTAGCATTATTGACAGGAATTTGTTGCGATTAGACTGTCGGTATGCGTTTGGGATGATTGATAAATGAGGGAAGACGATTTGGTATAACTTTCATAATTGGAAAGATTGCAGGTATCTTTGCTTTGTGGGGAAAACTTTTAACAAGTCAGGATTGGCTAGTCATTGTGACATTGACAGTAAGTAACAAAGTAAATGATTGTACCGCAAAGATTGGCATCTTCAATATTTTTGTTTTAATTTTGGAAGGCTAACTGAACTGCGAGAAATGCATTACACAGCGTAAATTTATTGTATTGATTAATGATGTGGAATGCTAATAAATGATCTCTTACTGCAAAAAGTGGTTATTGCAATGGATGATAATCATATCATATATAGCTTGGTGGGTATCTCAAAGGTAGAGCATGTCCGTACTGCAATTCAGTACCCAGGGTACTTGCATTGAATGGGCACAGATAAGGGCATTATTGAATTATGCCCTAAATAATTGTTTATTCATGCATCACAGAGAACACTTGGAATCATGGGTGGAAATCTCTCCCCGGTCGTGGGGGGGATCATGGGTGGAAATCTCTCCCCCATCATGGGGGGGACATCAATTTAAACTTTTTTGTGCATACCATGTTTATTATCTTATTCTATTTATAAAAAATCAAAAGGGAAAATCCCCTGTCCATCAATTCCTTTAGTATTTTGTTTTGCTTAAAGCATGGAGGGGACATTCAACATTGTGTCCCTCCGTACCAAACTGGCGGGTGGTGGACGTGTGGGAGGACTTGTTCACATTGATGCACGTTCATTTAAAATACTACAGAGAAGCTGACAGGGAGAACATTTAATGTTGATGACCATGGTGTGAATGTGCATTTTCGATACTGTTGTAGCATTTTAATCAGTGTTTAAACAGCGAGATTCTGTGAAGTAAGGTTAATCATTTTATCTCTTTAGTATGAACACAAAAAAGCAACACATCTGAAACGGCCGAGTGGTTAAGCTGGCGGTTATCAGATCGTTAGACGGTGGGTTCGAATCCCAGGAATGGCTTTTTATTTTCCCAATGTTTGCTGTCAGTCAGTCAGTAGCTATAAGAGACTCTAATTCACCCCCGTCAAATACTAACAGTACCTTAGACGATCGACCGGGTGAGCTCTTCTGTTGGGACAGCCCGCGAAGTCCAGGTGAGCGCCTTAGTACAGGTTCGAGACGTATAGCCGACTCGGCGGCCGTGCGGGGCTTGTCTCGTTTCCTCCCTTGCATGGTCGCTCGAACCCTTTTGGGGGTTAAAAATGGATGGGCAGGGAGAAAGTGTGGTGGGCCGGGATGGAAGCCGGTAACTGCGATTCCTTGCGAATTTCAGGAGTCTGTGTCCGGAGTCCGGTCATGTAACAACAAATTTCGTTTGCTTTCCAAATGCAGAATAATCTGACATTATCGAAGAGAAATTCTCATCAAAAATACGTCCCATATCTTCTTGGGTCACCCCTACGTTGCAACAAACGGTATTGCAGTGCTGCTCGTCCTTGTAAATTGTTGATCCATCACTGGTCAGACAGGGCTGTCCGAAAACTACAAGCAGGAAAATTATCAAATAACTCAAAAGACGCGAACAATCCCAAGTTACTGGAATTTTAACAACAGAAAATGACATCGAGAATGCAGTGGATGTCAAATCAATAAAGCTTTTGGTTTTACGTACCCCATACTTGCTGCAAAAGGCGCTGTGGGCAGAATAATCAGACTTTTCAAAGAGAAATTCTCATACAATGCATGGGGGTTCCTCTCCTTTTTTTCTGTTCAGTTTCTCCGAATGACGCGATCTTCATTCCGAATTAGCATCTTGACATAGACAGAAAAAACCCTTTTTAGCTTGTTATAGTTCAGTTATGAAGACAAATGACACTGCGTTCGATTTGGATGCTTCCATATTTATTTGAAGAGAGAAAATCAGAGAAAACATGTTTTCCTTAGAGGTGCTCTTTAATTAGGATTTCTGCGATTGCTATGAGAGGTTGTGGTCCATGAACAGAGTTGAACCCATTGTGTCGGGTGGAGGCTGTGGACAGGTGGGTCAGCTGGTACTTCCGTGAAATGAGTCCCCCCCCCACACACAATTTTTGGCGTTGAGCTCTGAGTTCAGTACCGAGGGTATATTCTTCCAACAGCAGTCATATCAACTGCAGATAAAGATTGCAAAAATATTATGTACATCTTAAAGACCTTGTAAAGCTCATTTTCTCTTTAAGTTTTGAACTTGATTTCAATATACATAATCAGGGGTGCAGGGGGTGTGGATGCACCCCCCCCCCGCCGCTAGCAGAAGGGAGATCCACTTGAGGTGTTCATTTTTTTTTTTCAAACCAAACAGCAGTATGTTACTTTATTAAAGTGAAAGTACACGGGTTTTTGATACACGATGAACGAAAAGTAAATAGCAAATACATGTATCTGGGGCAATCTGTGTTTCACGTGCGTACTTTTGTGCCTTCCTCGTTAAAATGCTGGAAGTTGGAGTTCCATTTTCTTGAAAATCGCACCTCCCGGGGGCCAACCAGCCTACGCCCTGACAATAACATACAACCGTTTTGCACGGCGCCCTCCTCTTCCATGGTTTCAGCAAACTACACGCAAACACCATTCTATTTTTAGGTTATACTACACAAATACGCGCCCATAGAAAACAGAGCAAAATCAGACCGAAATAGCGCGGCCTGTTGACTCTCGGAAAGACGTTGGCCTCCGTTTCTTCACTGAAAATTCAAGATTATTGCCAGAAGATAATTTTTCGTTTCAATTTTATGGGGGTTAGCAAAGGAATTGTTTTTATTCGCCTTTCCCCGAAGATACCCCCAAATAGTAGTAAAACTATGCGCTCAGCTCTGAATGTAGTTGCCCGCTTCTATTCAAAATAAGCCTGCAATTTGGGGCTTTTTGTGAAAGAAATACCCGAACTGGAAACGACCAGTCCCAAATTCGGGATGTATAGAAATATTCTTATGATCCCTCCTGATTATGCATGTTTTATTGTAAACACCCCGAGGTATCACAAAATATTAATGAGCTCGCGCGCAGAAATAACCATTAATTTTTATCACGGGGATCATTGGCCGAGTTTGGGCGGCTTGTTCCCGTATGTTCACGAACAGCTCGATTTGTTGTTCGTGGGTCGGCCGCTCGAACGCCGGGAACAAACAACCGGTTATCGCCGGTAGTTAGTGACAAGCAATATGCATTGCAACATGGCGGCGTCCAAGTAGGCTACGTTATTCGAGAGTTAATGTTTGGATGGGCTGAACTCTTTTCCATATATAAACAGGAACATTCATCTCTGTGTTACGGAAAATAATTAATGTTAATTTTGCAAAACTTCCCATTGTCTATGGCTTTGGAAGCCATCTCTCTACTTTTTGCAGCTGTTTAAAAATAAAAATCTCACGAGTTTTTCCGTGTGTTTCTGTAAAACCCTGACGAGGAGGTGGTGTGTGATCCTGTTCCGAGAACAGTGTTCTTGAGTCGTGTTCCCGCGCCGCCGTTCGAGCGCGAGAACAAGNGACGACCGCCCGAACTCCACCATTGGTCCTTTCATTATAGCGCCACCTGTCATGAGAGGGCGGTTTAATGTAAGTGCAACTAGACTGTGCTGCGCTGACACAAATTTAATAACAAACGCAAGCTCATTGACGTGGAGAACGGACCCAACTTCTGACTTAAAATTTTACATCGACGGCTGCGGAGAAGTAATGTTCACAGAACAGGATGAAGCCCATCATGGAGCGAAGAGGCAGTTGGTTTAAAGTAAAAGTTATTCTGTTGGTTGTGGCGGTTTGTTTGGAAACAACAGGCAGAACCAAACAGGTAGGCCCATTTTCCGCATTGTTGATTCCACCGGTAATACGGAAGTACTGGTACGGTGGTAGGCAGAACTCACGTTAGTTAGTCAACATTTTGCAGGCCATGCCAGTCTTTGAAAGCTGATTTATTTTCAAGGGAGAAAAATAAAATTACAAACTTTTCATGGCTGTTTTCAGTGTATCTAAATTTTAAAGATGGTTATTCACAATGGCAAAAGTAGGCCTAACAAAGGATCATTTTCTTTGTTGGTCACAGCGATAATTTGTATTTAAAAAAAAATTTTAAAGGCAAACAAAACATTGTATTGCATGGATATAATGCAAGAATTTTGTTTTGACCACAGAAAACTGTCTTTGCCTTGGTTGAAATGGAGGCAACGTTGTCGCTAAAGTGTACAGAAACACTTTGAAAAAAAGGAGTTGAGAGCCGGGCGTGGGATTGATGTATATTAGTTCGATTGACTGAAGTAGTTTTGATGAAACGGCACGTCCATTGTATCAAAGTAACCTTTATTTTTCCTCTAATAATAACACTGCTGTAAAAACCGTCGCCAACATTTCAGGGCTTGTTTGACCCAAACACCTGTTGCCCTTGTTTCCTTCCACGCCTTCTGTGGGAGAGAGTTGTTTGTGTATCACTGTGAAATGGAACATACAGTGTAAAGTGGGTACATGTGAATGGTGGCGCAGTGTGTTCTTTTTGTCCCTATTGCATTCTTTTACTAGGGGGGTGCATCCTGAATGTCAAACGGTTACTTGTTCAACATTGAATGTCTAACGTTGTACAAGGAACTACATGTAACTTCACATTGGTGTAGCTACATGTGTAGGTAGTCCCATTGGTCAAGCTGGTGCAGTGATGCAGGACTCGAGTCCGGACTCTGACTCTCGTGGACTCGGCTGGGCTCGGACTCGGATTAGATGGACTTGACTCCACTGTTAGTGTGGCCAGGATACATGTATCAATATGCTTTACCCTGAGTGGGGTTGTACATGTACATGAATTTAACGTCCTTTGATGGTGTAGCCCAACATGCCAGCCAGGTCCCTTATTTTGCCTCATATAAGCCATCAGACTTGACAAAATAAGGAACCTGGCAAAACACGGTGACTATACGGATGTTGCTTTACATGTACTGTACCACTAACTAGGCCTAGCATGTCAAGTCACCTACCTGTACGGTAGTAGCCCCGTGTAGAAGACACCCTTTATGAAGTGTGCCTTTTATGTCTTTTGAACCAACTTTTCACGGTTCCAATACGCTGTCAGAGGCTGTGATTGGTAATGCCCGATTATGATGGATACAGTAAAAACGTCGCATCTTGCCCCTTATCTTTCCTCATACACTGTACATGTATATCATCTCAATAAAAGTCACTCGTCATAGAAATGTTGAAAAGACATGTATCTTGGACAGAAAAATGTCCAATTCTGTGAGAGAAAAGAAATTGACTCCCCATAGGATAGGCGTAACTGATGTTAGACTTGTACACAACCGCTGAGGGCACTTTTGTTAGTACATGTAGGCCTGTTATTTTGAGCAGTTTTTCCAGTATTGAACAACTATTGACTCTCCGACTACTGACTTTGTCTCACCATTCATCTCTTAATGAATCGCAGGGCAGTGTTCACAGTAAAGCACAGTTGGACGTTGTGTTGTGGCCCAACCCTTTTCTGCAGGGAGTGTTACATGTACATGTATTTGGCCTTGACTAGCTCTTACATATAGCAGTAGTGGGAATGTCACTGCGGCAAGCCACATGAAAACCGCAGGTGGATTGTGGGAGGGCAAAGGGGGGGGACTGTGAAACTTCACATACTTTTGAAGAGTAAATGAATATGGGCAATTCACAATAGTGCACCTCCAACGCGCGAAACCTGTCGACCCTTTCCAAACGCACATTGGATCGACAGATTTCGCGCACTGTTATTGGCCAACGTGTTCCAAACTCTTGGGGACGCGCTTTTGTGAATCACCCGTATTAACGACAGGAGAAGCCAAATTGCTAATTGAATTTAATCCCAGCAATATCAAAGAGTGAGTAAATATGTAGATCAATGAAACTCCTTCCTAAAACTGGTACAAGGAGCTGAGTAGTATATTAAGAGACCGAGTGTTTTTACTCATCATTAAAAGCCAGTCAGAGGATGTATTCTGTCTTCATGTTGTGTGTAGGCCCTACTGATGTAACACACATGTACGTCCATACTATAAATGAAATCGTTTCACACAAAGAGAAATCAAAGGTAGAAATGGCTCAGAAGTTCTGCACTGTAGACTTTGTGAATTGTTTTTAAGTGTGAAAGGGAAACATCGCTCTTTTTTGGTTATGTTTTTTCCTTTTCTGTTGTCCCTCAGGTCAAGGGTCAGAGGGCATTAGAAGCTGAAAGGTCACTGGTTGCGGTGGTGGAAGATGGACAACAAGGTGCCCTCCAGAGCGGTTTGGGTTTAAAGGCGCATTCCACTGAATCTATGGGAAATGTGCAGAGTGCTGAAGCAAATCCGTCCAGAGGTGCTGAAGCTGTTGAGCTGTTGAGCGTTCAAGAAAACAATAATCCACAGCCGAGTGAAGTCAAACAAAACAAATGGATATTTGACCGAGATGGTGCTGCACCAAGGGAAATGTCCATTACGGAAGTGCTGCATTTACTGGGCAATGGGCAAATGTTAAACGAGGCTAGAACTTGGAAATCTCTACAGGGAGCATACGTTTATGATAAACAAAGAGAACGGTTCCAGGGTGAAAGTTTATTACAGGGTGAAAACGAAAAGGGACTTATCAGCAAAATGTTGTCAGAGAACTCAGACCGCAGAGTGAAGAAGAATGCATACAGGATGAGGAGAGAAGCTCCAATTACAAATGATTCACCTAGCAAGGTGCATGTGAGTCCTACCCCTAGCGGGGCCGGTGACATCCATCCGAGTAACATCAGTCGACCTACCCAGTCTGATATGACCTCAAAAGCCAGCGAGGATGAACCATCCTCGCTGGCTCCAGTTCTTTCAGGAGACGTGCTGAGCCCTCTCCCGATCACCGCTTCCAGCCATGATACCAAAGAGCCAGTCAGGACCACCCATTGGCCAGAGATCCTACATGAAGACATCACTATGAACAAGCGGCCAACCACTCCTCCGACTCCAGTCCAGAAACAACCAGAGCTAACTCTCTTGCCGAAAGTGCCATCAACGACCAAAACTCAAGGTGAACCGTCACCAAATCGTGGCCCTGTGGTGCACCGCACCACGCCGTCTTCCACACTCGAGCCCACTGCGCCCTCGACCACAAATGCCAGCAGCATCTCGCCGGAATCCAAGATCAAGGAGAGGACGCTGGACAACGATTGCGTTGGCGGCAACTGCGACGCGACCTTTGTGGGAGCCAACCAGTGGACAGACGACGCCTACTGGGCCTTTGGGAGCCTGCTGACCATTCTCCTGCTGCTGACAGCCGGCGTGCTGTACACGGGGCTCTGGCGGAAGCGCAATCACATGTCCAACCCCATCAGCGACGTCAACTGCCACGCCCAGGTCAGCCCCTCTCGCAAGAGCAAGACAGACATCAAAGGTATATTAATTAAGTCATATAGATGACAAGAGCAATCAGACAAAGGGCTGCAACAGTTGCAAACTTGAATTTATTGTCCTTGAGATTCTAGAATCAGGAGCATTAAAAATTCCGCATGTTGTATATCATATCCGGTCGTCAATCATCTGTTCATTACTGACAATATGTGGCACCACATGATCATATGTATATGTACATTTACATATACATATATGTAAACACAAATTCAGTATTAGTCGTATACACACAGGTCCGATGCAAATGCCCCCAAACCTTGTTCCCTCGTATTACACTGCAACAAATGGGGCATCACCAGAATTTTTTTTGGGGGGGGGCAAAACACTCAGCAGCCACCTGACCAACCCTTTGTCTGGGGTATTTTCAAGTAGATATTAAGTGATATTCATTTCTGAAGCCAAATTTTGTTTTTGTTTCTTTCTCTGTTCTTTGTCTCCATTTTCATTTTAATTTTTGAGGGGTAAGTACATGTACGGGTACATGTAAGCCCCCCTCCCTGCCATAACCCTCCCCTTCCCCTGTTGCTCTGGGGTATGGTACATTGTAGCTCAAGGGCGTTTTAACTCATTTCCTGGTTCTTGGTTGCCAAATTTGGTTTGCTGCATTCTTGGAAGACTGATTACTTCGTCACTCCCTCAAGTGACCTATTTTGGAAAATTAAATATAAAAACTGTACTAATCGGTTGCTGACTGCATGACCTTAAATAGTCAGATCTCAAAAGTTGAAGAGTGTGATGTTTCAATCCTTGCGTAATCTTTCTCAAAGGGAAGATGGAAGAAGGGATCTATTGGGATTAAAATATCTCGACTTTTTAAATTGACTATTTTACATGAACAAGAATCACAAGGCTTATATTCCACACAGTTTAGTAGGGATCACATCTCTCCTATCAATAAGTGAAAATCCTTAAAGAATCTCTGTGATGTTGGGCTACCCTTCTTACTTTACATGTACCTCCTTCGTACTCTTCATCAGATCTTCTCAAGAAGAAACTCCTTCACATCAAGAGCCTCAACAACTCCCCACTATCCTCCCCTTCAACACCGCCATCAGGCAAGCCAGATACCAGCCAGCACAATGGTGGCACCAGCCGAAGGAGCAGCAACGGCCGGGCCGGTAACCGGTACAGCCACCGCTACGACAGGCTCCCGCTGCTAGCTGCAGACGAGAACGAAGAGGAGGAGTTCTCCAGGGAGTGGGGACCACAGGCATAGTGTATGAGCAGAACCAGTGTAGTGAAGGGACTTGTTTGCCACCGAGCGTGAGTTTCACTGGTCTTACATGCAACAATGTTACCTCAAGTCCGCTGGTTTCTTCAGTCCTTCACTTCCCATGCTATTCAAAATTGAAAACATGTTACCAAAACTTTATGCAGCTTAGAAAGTCGTATATTTTTTTTAAAAAGACTTCCGAGTTGTTTATTGAATGTTACTGTCTGTTGGTGAGTTTGTGTATAGAGAAACCAGTTCTGAGTATACATGAACCTCAGCCTTTGGGTTTGAGTGGAATATTTGATGAGACTGAGTGCAGAGATATAAAAGAAGATGTAAAAAAAAATGTGCTCGAGTTTGTTCTGAGTGAGTAATCGTGTGTTTGAGTGTAAATGCAGCATACTTTGTGATTTTTATGAGTGTATTTGATTTTTATTCCTACAAAATGGGGCCATTTTTATAACTGTACAAAGGACCGAAGCGAACACGTCACGCGCACAATGACCGGTGTAAACCAACACGGTTGAACATTCACATGCCCCGTTTGTTTGCACTACTCTTTCTGGTTCACACTGACGTCACACTTCGGTACTCTACATGTATATCAGATTGGAACTAAAGTCTTTCTTTCTAATCTGGACGCAGGTAACCTAACCTGGATGGGCATTTTATCTCCTGGGCTTTTGTTTGTATTCCAAGCCAATTCAGGAATGAGAAAAAGCTTGATCGAAATGTTCAATGTGTGCCGTAGGTGAACTTCTAGAAAGGTCTGACGCTCATTAAGTTTGTAACTAGTTTTATCCTCCAGAGAGCAAATGCATATATTTTTTAGAAGCAATCAAAAGAAAAAAGGCATTGCATAAATTTACTAGTTTCCTTTCTGAATCAGCAAGGATAATTGGAGTGTAATGTGGTGAGCCGTCAACCAAGCTGTGTTGAAGCAGTATGGTCAGATCTCTTGGGCTTTCTCTCTTTAGAGCACACAGCCCTGAATTGATACAATGCAGTGGACATGGCATGGTGTTCCCATTTGTTCCTGCAACACTCTCCCATAGAGTAAACTCAGCACACACACATGCTTACTTATATGTACTTTGAAAGACTGGTTCTGAACAAAAACATTGACCAATAAGAAGAGGTTAAATACTGTGATCCCTTTGTCTGTCCGCTATGCTCAAGCAAATACAAGCCCATCCTTGGAGATGCCGCGGTATGTACATGTACATGTATTTAGCTTTCGTACATAAAGAGAGTACATGTACAGTGAATCACTGAATGCATGACTTACATTGTTGCATGTTGGGGTAGCTTTTGGTAGAAGTGTTTCAATGGCAAAAGTGCCTGTGGAAGTCATTCTTGGGACCTGTCTATCAGACAAAACAACATACATGTACATGTATGGAGGCTGACTTAAACAATTTACAGGCCTGTGTCTACAAGTTTGGGTATGTTCAAATTGGTAAACTCAATTAGATATTGTGGTATTTACTTGTATTCCAATCGTGGATGTTCCTAAAATGCTGAAGATTTCATGTAAAAAGAGCTTTTGTTGGACAGGGTCAGCGAATACTTGACAAAAGTTCAGGTAAATGAAACCAAAGTTTTGAAAACTTTGGTAAAGCGTTCCAGAACCAGTCCATTTAAAAATATGTGCTCTGTTGCCTATGGAACGTGTAGCTACATGTATATATACATGTATATATGTGTTCTTTCCTACAGAATTGTAATGTTTAGTTATAAAGTGGCCCTGAAGTCACAGCAAAGTGAGTCAGTGCATGATTGCAAGTGTTGAATACACATGACATACATACATGTACTTAAACTGTCTGGTTTGTAAGTTTGACATCACTTCAGTTTAAACCATGCCCAGTGCACATGCACTGCACATAGAGTCTTTTTTGACATGCATGGATCCCTGTTTACATGGAACCACGCAACCGTAAATTAATGTGCCACTTCAGCGGTTATCCGGATCGTCCAAATGGGAGCCTGCAAAATCGTGGCGTGTCCACTTGTATGACGAAATCACTTACAAACAGGATACCATACCTCTCCAACATTCAAAGAATTTGGCACAATATCCTGGCTCTGAGGCCTTAAAGTGCTGCTTGCTTTGCGTCTAGGTACTCTTCACTGGTCGTGATACAATTAGGGAAAATTTGTGGAATTCACATTTCTGCTTGAAGCAAATGCTGTAGAGAAAAACTGGATTCTCATTGGCATACCCTGTACACAAAGGTTGAACTGCAAGAACAAGAAATAAATTAATACCGAGTTGTAAGGAAATCCACTGACTACAAGGTGTAAGGAAAAATATTCCTACTCAGAGAAACAAATGGCAATTTAATTTACAGGTATAATTTTCGTCTGCTCAAAAATGTAAACAAAGATACAACTGATGTATGCTCTCTCTTGTAATGTGCTTCTCGTACCGTCTTCACTATATTCTCATGTTAGCCAGTACAGGAAAATAAAATTAATTTGTTCCAAGGTGTTTTACTTCGGAGAAATAACCTTTGATGTGCAAAATAGGCACAGTGCACCGAGACAAATTTCCATTGTACATGTATACGTCCATGACTATGCACCAGTAAGCAACAGTGCAAAATTTAGTTGGAGGGGAAAAAAAACGGAAGTGTTTGCAAATATGTGGATCATTAAGCAGCACGACAGCTGTTGGAAACATACGTCAACGCGTTGAATTGCATTTGCATATGTATTCACTGGAGTTACATGTACTTAATAGGGGCTGAATTATTTGCCGGCGTCAGTCTGTGTTCGTAACAGATGGCATGTATTTACATCAACTCGCGCTGACAAGATTGAGTTACTTGACTCTGGAAGTTCCCAGCGCCGTTTGTGAATTAACGGACCAAGAAAATGTAAAGATGCTTCCACGTTTGTGCCGTATCTTACATACGAAGACACGTTGCTGTGTGGTACCCATGTATCGGGTGTTAGGGCACAGGTTACCCCCCCCATACATGTACATGTTAACCATTTTTATGCGGGTGGATGGGGAAATAGAAAGTGCTAACATATCAGAAACACGACTACCCGTTTTTTGAGAGGGAGAATTTCGTCTAAAGATGAAAAAAAAAATGGAAAGTCATATTTGGAAAAAACAAATTCCGTTTTTCCCCGTTCTCTGCCAAATGACCATATCACACAGTTTGTTAGCAGAAATGACAATGACAACGCAAGAGTACGCGTACGTGTACGTACAGACTCCAGCAAAAATCTGCCAATGAGAATCAATCATCACAAAATGGACAATGCAAAAGCAGTCAGCTGGTTGCCTGCATCTGTTAGTTTCATAACCAAAATGTTTTGTTGCTACATACATGTATATGTGTACATTTTAGAAAACTTTTTAATCAATCCCTTATGCTTGCAGTTTAATTTCCCTCTGTAAAAACAGAGTCCAGTTTCTTGCCTTAACAGGCAAAGTAGAACTTGGTTATCAAAGCCCACTCTCACAGTTGGTTCCAGTCATTGCTTGTGCAGTGGTGTCCGGCGCAAAGATAACGAGAGATGAGTTATCCAAACAAACAAGAACTTGTTGGGTGTGAAACTCTATCGGGTTTTCAGATACTGAAGGTGAGGAAAGCAAACCACTTTGCCATCTGGCATTGAAAGTTGAGATAAAAATGACATGTATGTGGGCATGAAGAGAATTATCCTCTCTTACCACAGGGGCACCGCAGTTATACTGGCCTGTCCTTGAAGTGCTGAATATTGGCAAGGGAGTGTCTGGTGTTTCTTTCCTGTGGATTTAAAATAGCAGATAAAAGGAATTGGCCATCTTGAAAGACTGCCGCTTTTTCTGTCCGTACTGATAATATACCCATTGCATTGTACATCTACAGTGTATGTGAAGATTAAATGTCCTATCATGTTGGCAGTGGCTCTACATTTATGTCCATAGAATTTATAACTTCCTGTGAAAATTGGCAGCTGGGACACAGCAAATATGACAGTCGGGAAAAGTCATATCTGCAGTAGTTTGTGATAACAGTGATAGACCATGATAGCCCAATAGGGCATTGTCTACTTCGAAGCAGAAGGAGACTGTGTACAAAAAGGGACCGGTATGGCTATGGCTTGTGTAGGCCACTTCCCACAGATATGTGTTGCTTCCAGCCACAGTCAGTTAAGTTGGACAGGGCTTATGCTTTGAGATGTACCTTCGTAAACTACTCACATTTGTACAGCACAAGTTAAAAAAATGAAGGGAAGTTTTGCTAGTCCTGTCATGTGTATCAATCCAGTAGCAATGAGAAATACTGTCACTTGTCATTTATGATGGCCCCCGCTGATGGTGGAAAGCACTGTACCCAAAGTTGTACTGCCTGGTCCTCAACAGTCACTCCAAACAAAACCCAACACAATGCCCCCCCCACCCCCGGACCATTGATCACTGATTTCATTTGTATCTCAAACCTGTTTCAGCCGGAGGTCATGGCTTCATTGTTGTAGACTGTGGCTTGGTCATGGTCCTTTCCTCGAGGCCTGATGTTTGAAGCCATAACAGCAGCCACATCATTGAATGGATGCATATCAAACTACATGGAGCTTGAAAGGGCACAAAAGCAACAACTATAAAAAGAAAGTGGTTAGTGTCAATGATAATAGAGGAACCTGTGGGGAAAGTACAACATGTTGCGAACACGCCACAAATGCAATCTAGATGTTTACATTACATGTACAGGTGCAAAGTTGAGATTAAAAAAATGTTTTTTTTATGTACTAGTTGGGAAATGTGAACAAGATGGACAGTTAAAATAGTGTCTTTCACGGGAAAGGTGTCTCTTTTCAGGAAATAAATTTTGTATTGTAAAATTTTGAAAAATTTATCAGATAAGAGAATCTTTTGTATGGACATAAGATCCTTTCTTGATGTTGAGCTTGATGCATGTAATTTTCTGATATCCGTGTGCAATTTGGACAAACTTGTAAACTTGACATTGGGTTTCTATTCATTCAGGGTCCAAATGTGTGACACTGTGTACCTACTTTGCCTGACCTGTGTAATTTGACACCAAACTATCCTTGAAATTGACTTAAATTGTTTTATTTGTTTGAGTGTATTACTTACATACACGTGATCACTCTCGGACATTAAAGAACTTTGCATTCTAAACTTACAAAATCATATGTCAGATATGATAGGGACACAAAAACTTGAACCCTAAATGTATGGAATTACCAGCCTGGAAATTACACTGTAAATTACTGTGTTTATACATGTAAATACATCCAAAGTGTTACAACTGAGTTCGGATGCCCCATTTTCAAGACAATGGTGTTCAGTCATGCATGACAGGAGGGATACCATCAAGGTATCATTAGAGATAATACTGCTTCTACTTTTCGGAGATCCTTGTACATTATAATCATATCTCATGGTTTGGGCATATTAACCCCTTTCCTCAGGGTTTGGTTTTTTCTGGGACACCGTGTACAGCCACAATCATGGACACCATGAAACTATTTCACCCATAACTGGGCCCTGCCTGTGCATTGTACATGTAGCTTCCTTTACCCTTATGAAGTTTTTATGAGTTTCAAAACGTGTGTCTTTTTAAGATTGTGGATAAAATAAAGTTTAATAGTGTGCCACATGTAGTTATAGTTGAGACTCGATTTTCTGGTGTACATGTACATAAATTGCTTGATGACAGAGCAAGTTACTTGCTTTTTAAAAAAAATGACAACATTGCCACTGTTCTGCTGGGGGCACCCG